CTGTCATTCAATTGAATGGGTGTCATCTTGGATCCTAATATTAAGTTCCCATGAACTAAATTAATCTAATTTTATTTTATTTATTTATAAAGACAGCACACATGAATTTCAACTGCAGCCATTTGTTAATATATTCTGAAATCAATGAGGTGATGGTTGAAATTTACAGACAACAGACAACAAGACGTCATAAAGACAGCAACAGCAACAAAATGAGCTTTCTCAAGACAAGCCACGCAGAGCAGGAAACAGCAAAACATTAGTGCAATAAAATGGAAACAATATCCATTATTTGGTACATGGTAATGCCATACACCTAACACATTAGCCATGCAGCAGAGTTGTAAGTCACAGCTACGGTATAGAATATCATATGGCATTTTTAATAAATTGCTAGTAAATATTCCATACATACCCAAGCCATGCAAAGGTAACCATGTGGCAGATGGACAAAGGACATGGGACAAGTTAGTAGTAGGTCAGCCAGTAATAATAACAATAGTGGTAAAATTAGCAATGTATTATTGTAGTATTTGGATTTTAAAAAATTGTAAAAAAGAAAAACAAACAAAAAACAGGCTTTGAGACTTTGCGTGAAGATATAGTAGGTGGCACAGTTTCTTACTTCACTTGGAAGGATGTTCTACAGTCAAGAAGCTCTTACAGAAAAACCTAATTAGCTAAAGGAGCTGGACCTGTAGAGATTACAAAGTCCCCTCTCAGAGTAGATCTTGTAGATGTTGTCTGAAGTTTTCTGCTTGATAAAAATATGTAATTGGTAAAGGAGCTTTGCTCTTAAGCATCTTTTTTTCCTTATGTACCTTTTTATTAGGTTTTTATTTAGTAAAGGTAAACTAAATTGATACATATTTGCCAACTGAACAGAAAGCACACACCTTATTTAAAAAAAGTATAGTTATAAAATAAATAAACAACAAGGGGAGGATCCTTCTTTAAAATGAACAAAAAAGTATAGATATAGACATACTTACACACATACATGTATATACGTATAGTATACAAATATATATACTCGCCTACACACACATGCAAGTGATGGTAAGTATTGGGTTTTCTGTCTAACACTTTAAGAGCCTGTCTTTACTCAGAAATAATGGGCTTAAATGTTGTACCTTTCACTTGAGTCCAGATTGTCATATAGTGTGTTAAGTGGGGGATGATTAATACAATATTGCTGAAGTAATAGTTGCATATGTGTTTAAGTTTGATCAAGCACTGTAATGACCAACACCACATGTGGTAAGGGTAACCTTGTTAACATAGTCCCACATTTTCATGCCAACAGGTGGAGAAAATCCAGAAGGCTCTTGAGATGGATAAAGATCTCAAGAAGGAAAACCTGGAAAACATATTGGTATGGAGATACAAAGTTGCAAGACATGTTTGAGAGAGATTTTGGAACTGTACTGGGGCCTGTGTCCAGATAGTTATTTTCTGAGCACCAGCATTTCAGTTGTACCCAGTGAGTAGAGTGTGTATGCGGGCGCATGTGACCACTTAGAGAAATGAGTGCTCTGCGTTATTTGTGTGGTGCTCCGGTCCAAGTTCAGTGTGTAACATGTGGGGCGGGTGGTGTCTATTGTCAGAAACGTGACGATAGACGTATTGTTAGAACAAGCGTTTTTTTGAACTACAGAGGGTGCAGATTCTCTTCTATGGAGCTCCAGATAGGGCCTTTCATGTTGAGTTTGAGTTTCATGACTGCCATAGTTTCTCCTACACACCTCACAACCCGACACGAGCCGTGTTCAGTTAGTTGTAATCTGAAACTTCACGGCTAGATGCCACTAAATCCTACACGCTGGTCCTTTAACACAGTGGTTCCCAACCTGAGATCTCAAGGGGTGCGCACAACTTTGTCTGCTGAGGTTGTGAGGTTACCAGAATTATTATTTACAAAAATTTAATTTATAAAATCCCAATAACACACCCAATTGGATAATCAAAACTCTGTATAATCTAAATTGAAACATATTTTTGGTCCACATTTAAATTCATTAAGCTATTTAATACCTATTTAGTGCGTGTATGCAGGTAGGGGTTGGGGTTGGGGGGGCCTGACTTGTCTTGGACACAGGCAAGGGGGGCTTCAAGGAAAAAAGGTTGGGAACCACTGCTTTAACAGACATTTATATTTTTTGTAGGTTGGCTCAGTGGAGCAGTTTCAGGGTAAAGAATTCAATGTGATTCTGATGTCTACAGTCCGCAGCACTCCCAAACTGACTGCGCACAAGCAACGATTCACTATAGGCTTTCTTGATAATGAGAAGGTGAGAAGACATTACAAAAACACACAATAACTCAAGAGCAATATATACCACCAATAAATTACTGCTCAATTTAGAATTCTCTGAACCTTGCTGAAAAACACTTACACATTAATGAAAAGGCATTGATTTCCATGAAGCGGCTAATGTCCACCATGTAAGCACCATAAGACCAATTCACAGACACTCATTTTTACATGCACACTAACTGAAACTACCTCCTCAGAGGTTCAACGTGGCATTGACCCGAGCACAAGCCTTACTGATTGTGGTTGGAGACCCGAGAGTTTTGAAAACAGACCAAATCTGGAACAAGTAAGTCTTCACCAGTCTAATTATCTTTCAGTGGATAACGAGGGGTTGGACAAATACATAGCTAACTCCTACATGTCTCATACTCTCACCTCTCTTTTTAGATTCATCCATTACTGCTATACAGAAGGGGGTTATCGAGGAATTACAGTCTTTGATGCAGAGGAGGAAGATGCACCGACAAACGCACACTTATCGCACCGCTGGTAATGTGCACATTCACATAAACTCACTCATACTGAAATGTCTTTCCTTTGTACAAAAATTCTTGAATAGTCTTAAAGACTAAGGGATATTTGGCTTCTCTGTCCACCTTTGATTTACACCCCACAGTGGAGAGTGATTCAGCAACAGCTGGACCCGTGTTGAAGGACAGACTTCGCACACTAGATCCTGATAAAAGAACTTTATCAAGAATGAAGTAGAATAAAGAACTGGATGAGAAACTGAGTACTAAGATTGGAGTCACAAATGTGTTTTTCACTTACAGACACAAAGCAGAACTGCAAAGCAGAATTGTATTTTATTTAGATTTAGCAAACATTTTAAATTATTAGTATTATTTAAAGAGAATTAGAGTGGTGGGTTTCCTTTTTCATATCTAACAAATAACAAATAAAAAAACATCAGCGCTCACTTACTTGGTTTTGCTGTTAATCCCAACCCTGATTATAGACCTGAGTTATATTAAACTAGTCTATAGAGATAGTTCTTTTTGTTAATACAATTCTAAAGTGAACAAGATTGTTTCACAAAAATACAGACTGACTGTTTTTAAACCTAAAAAGTTTACTACCCTACCCATTTAATCACCACCCACATGTCAGATTTCTCTTAGAAATTCAAAGCAAAGCAAGCGAAAACAAAAAGGCAATTCTGTGTTTTTATCAGGTCTCCCAAAACAATTTCAAAGAGAAGAGCTATATTTCCATTGCAGCAATCAGTGACACCTGCTGACAGCTGACAGTCAGGAAAACATTAACTCACTTTATGGTTGGTTAGGAAATGTGGAGCAGCACCTTTTAAAGGCCCTTGGTCATAAGGTCAACTATAGTCAAGTGGAGAGTTTCATTTTCATTTTACTAGCTGAAATAATGAGATGACTCTACAAACTGTAGTTGAATGAATAGATATTTGTATAACAAACTTCCTAGGCCTACAGTATTATCAACTTTTATTTATTTTATATTAAGAGACACAATTCTGTGTATTAATACTTTGTTAATTTGGGTTGTCAACCTTTTCTATAAATTAATGTCTCTAAGACCAAGGAAATATATTGATTTCTGCAAGTCATCTTCTCTCTACCACTTCCTTGGAAATAACCCCATGTTTGATGACAACACTGATTTTATCTGTAAAGAAGGAAACCAAAAGTCAAGGAACCAAAACCTTGTTGTTGATTTGGCAATCTCAGACTCAAAAACAAAAAACAACTGAAGCTGTGGCACAAAGTCACTGAAGACAATCTAAATTATCTTAAGCAATGCTGTCTTACTGAACTTCCTGGAATCACTGTGTAAAGCGTGAAACTCCCTGCACGCCTTACATAATGAGTTCAAGTTGCTGCCTGCAATGCAATGACAGACAACCCAGCATCAGCATCAGGATCTCCTCCTGGCCTTCATTTACCAAACCCTTCTGAACGTGTGTCATATCCTCTTATACAGTATGCCCCAAGTTATCACAGTGTTTTAACATTCAGAATTTTAAGTTAAATTTATATTGACCATGCCCATTTACTGCTTGTATGAAATACAGGGACTATTTCCCATAGTCTACACTCATTGTTTGCCTAGCCATTATGTTTTCTGAAGGCAAAATATTACTTAAAATAAAACTTTTGTGCGCCGTATGCTTTCAATCAGTCAGAAAATGTTTGCCATAAAGTGCTGTTTCTATGCACTTTAAATCCTGTTTACGTTTTACAGGTTGAATCAGTCACAAAAGTTAAACAAGTGAGACTAATTTCCCAATGCACACTGTCTAGGTTTGTGCTTCACATTTTAACTGCAGGGATATTACTGCTCTCTCCATCTTAATCACATCATTAATTAACATAATGTGTAAGTAAAATAGCATTAAGGTTTATCATTAATTCACTTAATATGTTTAATAATGAATATCTTAGTATTTGTTTCACTACTGCATGGCTCGGGTTGCAGGCAGTTTCCACCACATTAACTAATCACGTTGCAGTTATTATATAAATCATATGAAGGTATTATTGTTGACTTGCTCACTGACTGACTCATAAAAATCAAACCTTGTAATAGCTCTGTTTTTATGTTTGTAGTTTAATTCGCTTTGCTCATTCGGCCAGCTCGTTAAGTTTCGTTTCTCCGGGCTGGCCCGCTGTGTGGGAGCACCTGCTTTAAATATCCGAGCTGGACTGTCTCAGTGTCAACAGCTCCGCGTCTGCACAGTAGGAGAGACACCGCCCATGCGGACTGTCCTGGAATAGAAAGAGAACAGCAAACCCCGGTGTTTCTTAGCTATCTTTTTAATATCCGTATTCAGCCGAATAGCCTGGACATTTTCTTGTTTGAATAACGTCGATCGTATAAATCTTTGATCATGGTTAATATGAAGTTAAGTTTACGCTGTCAGATTGGACTGGAGTTCTTTGAGTTTTTGAATGAGACTGATCGGGCATCCATCACAGACAGACTTGAACTAAGAGACATTTACAACGATGAGTTCAGGCTCAGGTGAGTTGTCCTTCGTTATGTTACATTATGCATGTAACAGTATGACAATTTTATAAACATTTACGTAATACATTTATGTAAAATAAATGTTTTATATAAACTAAATGTCTTTTATTTTAGGAATCCAGGGACCAAAGATCCAAACTTCGGTTCAGTCCTCTATGCCCTGAAGATGTCCAACAAAATAACGAGACGGAGAGACATTATTCGCTTCAACCCCACGGTATGCATGTCCACATGACACTTTAGGCTGTTGACGTGTTATTTAGTGTTATGGAACGGAAACCACATTTGCAGCCTCTCAGATGTGATCATGCAGAATTGATGTGCAATCTTTGGCTGTCAGTCACTGTAATGGCTTACTGTATTTCCCCCACAACAACTATAGCTAATTTCTCACTTTATTTGAAGTTACTTTACTTTAGCAATAAGACTAGCAGTTTTAAAGTTGTGGTCACGCGCTGTTTATTAAGTGGAAATACAAAACTCATCTTTGTATTTTCTGGCTCCCACTTCGATTTTGACACAACTTGGTTTTAGTTTAAATTACATGTTGTAAATCATATGAAACAAACAATTACTGCAGGCTGGATCCAACCTGAATGTCTCTTTATTTAGACCCGTCATTTAAAGCATTTATCATACAGTGTAATTGGGGTTAAAGTCTATTACACATCTGATCACTATAAATAATTGGTTGGTATGTGTAGGTGTGGTTAGGTGATCCTGTTGGAGTGGTGATCACATGCAACAGTGATGTCACTCTGCACCAGGGGCTATAATGTACAGTATAAACACAAATCTGTCTTTCTTTAATCTTGGTTCCAAAAACAACAAGCTGTTCTGGTTGATCAGTTATTTATTTAATATGTAATAGTTATGTAATGTTATGGATATATATATTAAAGATTTGACACCAAGTTTTTTAGAGATTTAATGTTTTAAACTGACAACAACGATGTGTCAGCAGAAGCTTTGTCATAAGCCTCAGTGACTTGCAAAATAACTTTATGTGTAAGGATAGGGTGTTGTCACTTTCTCAGAAACCAAACTTCCGGTCTGAGAGAAACCAACTGTATACACATTTGGGCCATTGAATAGAATTTAACTTTAAAAGTAAAAAAAAAAAAAAAAAAAGCGCTTTAAAATTCACTCCAGAGCACAAAAGTCAAATTTTATTCATATAGCCCAAAACCACAACAACACCCTGTGCTGTGTGCCGTGAGCTTTCAGGCCACATCCTGGAATGTGGGAGTATTAGGTCATTTTCAGGCGAAGAAGAAAAATGTATTACCTAAATAGTTTTATTCTTATCTGACCCTGATATTGTCTTTCCTGTTTCCTGTGTGTTGAGCAAAGGATCTAAATTGTCTGTCTTCAGGATAGAGGTCAGAGAAGTAGAGATACCGCTATGTGTTTTTCTCTCCATGCTGCATGATTGCATGAATATAATATCTATATTCTTCTGAAGCTGAAGATTTCTACCACATAAGCCTGTCCGTCATAAATGTGACTATCTATCCTTGAGCCCTGGCAGGGCCTGTTTTGTGTGGTCATGTGTACAGGAGGTTTAGGAGTTCATCAGTTCTCTGTAAAAGATGTAAATTGTTCATCATCATCCTCTTCATCAGACTGTACAAGATAAAAAAAAAAGTAACAGAGTTTATTCAGCTACTTGATAGTGGAAGTTTTCCTCTGGAAACAAAATTGGCATGAGGTTATTTTCTGCACAGGTCAAAGCTCATTATCAGGACCAGTGGCATTCACACAGGGGCCGTCAGCCAGAGCCTTCCCCGAGTGGAGCTGCCAGTCCCGGGACAGTACAGACCTTCATGTCTGGAAATGGCGCTGTGACGGGTGTTCGAGCCCGGAGGCAGCTGGCCGGGCTTCTGATGACCAAACTGAAGACAGACAGGTAACAGGGTCCTCTTTTAGTTATCATGTTCCCAAAAGCCACTTCTCTAGCTAGAATGCTGCACTCCACAAAGTTGTGAATTACATAGCTTCCCATCAAACATTTAACTGTCACTCTTCTGTCACTGGCCTTGCAATTACTACATCATCCCCTCTCATCTGGCTGTATTATTTCACAATGCGGCTATAGAACTAGAATATGTGAAAGAGTATATTTGAAAATGTTGAGATTTAAGCAGAATCTTCAAAGTCACGGAGCACTCTGCTGCCTTTAATGAAGTGTCTCATAACCTTTGCTCTTTTTGCACACACAGGGCTCAGTTCATCTCTGACAAAAATGGTATCCGCATCATCTCTGACTATGAGTTTGAGAATGGGAAACTTTGCTTGCGTGTGGATGAATGTGAGGTATTTATGTTAAGAAACTGCAGTGTTGTCTGATGACCAATTGCTAAATCAGATAAACCTGTTGTCTGTTATGGTATAAATATGAAGCTATGTTTCTTCTCCCTTTTTTTTGAAACAGTGCGTGGTGAAACTGAAAGTGGAAAACACTGGAACAGCCCCTGTGTATTTCACCCACTACACCCCACTGCACTGGCTCAAGAACTTCATTCTGATGGATGAGCACAAAGTGACCAAGACAAACCCTCTTTGTCTACAACCAGGTAATAAATATCATGATGCCATATTTGCTCAGCTGATAGAAAATGTAATAAATACAATAAACTTTATTACCTGTCTTTTCTCAGGTGACAGCTATGGCATCCAGGTCCGCTTTCACTGCACTTCGGTTGGTTTTTATCCAGCTACACTGGCCTTTGAGTTTAAACCAGACCTGGAGACCTCCACTGTGTTCCACATTGTGCGTTTTCTTGAGGCTCATTATATTACTGCCTTAGGACGGGAGCTAGCACCTATAGCGCCCTACAAACCTCGCTCCCTCCCTGCCTGGACCCCTGAGGTTGATTACACAGTTGTGGATGGACAGCGACCTGAAGGGTATCATGTTAACTCAACGCACTGTTAAATAAATGTAAAATTTTATATGCTGTATGCCTGCTGGTGACGTAGCCAATCCTTTTTGCATCCTCTTACCAGGCTGTCAGTGATGCGGCTACAACATGTGGTTGAGCTGAAACAATATAAACTGCCAGCACATTTGAACCAGCTCATACAGTCACTGAAGCAGTCGTTCTTCTCCGATACAAGGTAAGTTAGGTTCAGTTTTTCATGTCCAGCTACAGGGCAGTGTTTTAAATATCACAGTGTAACCAAGAGAAATTACATTTATACAACTAATTTGCAACAGCAACACGTTTTAAGGAAATCTTAATGCAGACCGGATTACATTTTAGATCACCATAAGGAGGAAATGTTTTTAATTAACGCATCTGGCAAGTTGCAAAAGTATAAAATGTTAATTGACAACATATTTTGATTGTTTTCCACCAAAATTTCTGGTCTTGCAATACAAAATCTACCTGTAGTGACTGCTATTATATGAATCTTTTTATGGTTGGGTTTAGACACTGGCAGCATTTGGTTAAGGTTAGGGAAGGATTGTGGTCTTGATTTAATACAGAAATAGTCCTCAGTGACTTGAAGACATAATGCGATTATTAATTTAACCAAAAACACGATCTTTCCCCCAAAAGACCCAGGCTTTTGAGTATGTACATGTAATTTCTCGGAGGCAGGGTTTGTGACAAAAAACATTAATTCATGATATAAAACAACCCTGCTTCTGTTCTACAACATATGCATATGCCATACAATGTGTTTCCTTTCCTTTGGTCTGTTTAGAAGGGTCTTGCTGGAAAGTCCCTTGAGCTGGGAGAACTACTCCGAGAAGTTCCACCTGTTGCTGTATCTGGAGGAGCAACAGATGGTGGTGGACATCAAGAGATACAACATCCCCAACAAAGAAAGCAAAGAGGCCAAAATGTACAGAGACCTGCGCAACAAGAAACTTCTTGTTCTGAAGGTTAATATGTGTATCTCACTCATTCACCCACAGAATTACCTTGTCCTTCATGTCCTTCACAAGACGACTGTTAAAGTTTTAGAATATCACAATAATCCCTTGTAATTTAAACATTTGTGCACAGCTGGTACACTGGCTAATGTGGAATAACACATCCCTGACAGCAGGTTGTGATGCAGTATGATGAGAGAAAATATAGCATGTATAAGTATAATTATTTCAATAAATAACTTATTAATTGACATAAAAATAATTCATACCTTTCTTTGTTCTTGTTCACCTGCCAGGTACCTGGTGTGTCTGAGAACCGCCCGTCTGTGCTACGAGGGGATGCGCTGCTAGTGTATCCCGTAGGAGAAGATAAAGGGGTGAAGTACCGCGGCTACGTCCACAGTGTGGAGCTGGACCAGGTCAAACTCGGCTTCGACTCAGCGTAAGATCATGAAAATTACAGTAACATGCAATAATTAGGCAATAAAAATATTGATGTGAACATTTTTGTTAGTATCCAAGATTCACACAGTTTGTCTATGAATTTGTTTTCAGATTACTGGATCGCTTTGTAGATGGCATGGAATTCAATGTTGAGTTCACTGTCAACCGTGTGACTTTGCGTCTTCAGCACAGAGCAGCAGAGCTGGCAGTGAAGTACAGACTGGGAAAGGTGTTGTTCCCTGCTGCTCCTGCCTTCCCCTCTCAGCAAACTGAGCTTCCCAAACTCAGGTCAGGCATGCAAATATATACACTGCATATATCTTTGTGATGTGTGTGTAATGTGTTATCTGGCGATTTTACAGCACAAATGTCTGTAATATGTATCCCTCCCTTGAAGGGCTCCATATTACATTAGGTGCAAAGTGGCACACAACACAGCGCAAGGGTCGTTGCTAGTTTCTGAAAATTATATTTATATGTGTGGTCAAATTGAGTCATATTTTTTATTTTGCAAAGTATCAAATGTGGAGCAAGAGGGGGAGAAATATGGTGCTGCACATAACAAGACACATACAGGTCTGACTCAGACAGGTCTGAAACGTGTTAGATTAATTTATGAATCTTAAAAAATGTCATTCAGGTGAACGTATCTGGAATGGAACATCAGTACTGATGTTCCATTTGCTTTAGCTGTGGTTTATTTTTCTTTGTCTCAGTACACCTTGATTAATAAAGTTTTGGCTATATGACTATAGTGAGAGACAACAAACTTTCAACAGATGGCAAATAGAATTGACAGTTTCACTCACAGTGTAAGGTTAGTTTGCGTCGAACAGGATACAAGCAAACCGAGTTGTCTCAAGAATTAACTGAAGAACAAGAAATCACTCTCTTATATACCTTTGTACTAATGATGAATTTGCTGACTATACAGTGTATGATTACTGCAATAACGTAAGCATACTGTCATAGCTCACCTGATACCTTCATTTCACCCGTAGTTGACAACAATCTTCCCTTCCATCCTGAACCCTTCTCCATGGTCACCTTGAGTTTTACCCCAACTCCTACATCCCCTTATTGTACTATACCTACACATGTTTTTTACTGGGCCTGTTTCACATCTGCTACATGTTTCCCCTTATAGTTGCATTAAAGTTTCCCTAACCCATATACTTACTTCTCTGCCAGAGTTTCTTACCATAAACACAGAACCGTATCCCAGAATGCAGTTTCTCTACTACACTGTCCACAGCTGGTTGTGTGTCAGTTCTTTCCTTTGACTTTATTAAATACCTGAGGCATCACACAGCAGCAGAAACGCTAAGTGTGTCTTTAAATTGCGAGGAGCTGTAGCTTCATTAACAGGCAGACAGGAGGATAATGTTAGTAAATTTGAGTACAGACTTTGCTTATTTCTAAATCACAAGGTCCCTCAGTAATGATAGTCCCATGCGTGTAATCACAATTGCAATCAATCATGACCAGCCTGACATATATATAACCAGATTATATATATGTCATATATTATAATTGCGATACACGATAGTCATGAAAATATACTTCATACTTTTAAAATGGTACTGTGGTGGCTATTTGTTAAATAAAGCATACAAAGTAAGTATGAGTTCTGGGGCAATAGACAGAGACAGTGTGGTGCGACAATGGGTCTCATCATGTCGTTGGCTGTTCAGTGAAGTCTCAACATCCCGCTGTTTACTTGGACATAGAGTGTAGTTAGAAACGGGGTTGAAGGTATGTATATAATAGCCTCTTGAACAAGCCATGTGAGGATATTCACGATTATTCAGATTTAGGATTATGGCGATAATGGAAATTCACCACGATAAAATGTTTATCACAAAACATGATAATATCGTATATCGTCCAATCCCCAGTCTCCAAATCATCTGACATTTCCTCAGCACAAAACCGTTCTGCAACACTGCCATTTAAATACTAATGTCCCAGGTATATTAGGCACGTGTGGCTTTTAAAGGAAATGGGAGATGACACTGTGATTGATTTAATGCATGTTATACCCTTTTAATTAATTTGATTAATTAAGAGACTAAATACAACCCTGTGTACCTAAATAGTGTGCCGTTTAACTGGCAAAAGTGGAATTGGACACAGCCTAAATGCACTTGTACCATGCATGATATTGATCATTTGAAAGGGGCCATTTAACATTAGTTATTGAGCTCCACATATAATCACTCTAGTCAACTAAGGCTGGAATTATGGTTCTCCGAACATGTAAACTCTCTGCTGGTCTACGCAGAGAAGGGAGTGAAAAATATTTCTTTAGGGGGGGGCTTTCTAATTTCTAACTACTCCTACAAATATAGAGGGAAAAAATATCCCAATAGTTGTAACAGAAAATACTGCTCACTTCCTAGTTATCTGGTTTATGTTCAGTCAGAACTAATGGATACCGTATTATTACATTAAATATCATATTAATAGAGGCATTTGAAAGAGGTTTCACATAATCTCATTACAAGATAAAACATGTCATTCCTAGTCTTTGATCAGACAGCATGCAAATCAGATTTGTTTCTCAAATCAGATGTTTAAGGCCGACTGTCCGCACTGTTATTTGCAAGTGATCAGATAGGACACTGTATTGATGTTGACTGATGGTCTCTGTATGCCCTTCATATCGCTAGATTTTAAGTTGTCGTTGGGTGTCACGTTGCAAGTAACGCGAAAGACACTTTGAAGTTCTTGGAATCCAATTTGCATTGACATTTCATGTGTTTTTTTGCTGTCCAGACTTTATATCTACATCAATCAGGACACAGTGTGCATATAACAATAAACAGATTTGGGCTGGCAGCCTGAACAAGGCCTAACAGTGCTGACCCAAAACCAGGTTGTTTTACCTGATGAGAGTATGAGATTGTTGAAGAAAACATAACAGCTGATTCTCTCTATCTGTGACCCAGCTCTGACCTCATACCCTACCTATCTGTTCCTCTATCTTCCTCTTGATAGGCTGTTTGACTCAAAGCTGGAGGAAAACCCTGAGCAGTATCGGGCTGTACAACACATTGTAGCTGGCTCCTCCAAACCTGCCCCTTACCTGGTGTTTGGCCCACCTGGAACAGGTACAGCAAGTACCAGAACATTACTTTATCTTCACTGTTTAAGCAATTTTAGGTAGCATTAGCATTCACTCACTTCACTTAATTCTTTATTCCGGTGGTTCTTTGTTTGTTCAGGCAAAACTGTGACTCTTGTGGAGGCCATCAAGCAGATAGAAAAGAACGAGCCTTCCTGCCACATCCTGGCCTGCGCTCCCTCCAACAGCGCTGCTGATCTGCTCTGCAAGAAGATTCTGGAACATGTGGAGGAGCGTAAAGTGTACCGCATGTATGCCAGCAGCCGGGACCCAAAATTTGTCCCTGACGAACTAATGGTTAGTGCCAGTGCCTGTGTGATTGGAGAAGTCAGATTATCGACCCCTATTTACTTGCTTTCTTGCTGCAATACTGCTGCACTTCCCATTGCTTCACATGTTGGATACTATCGTACTATTGCTGTTGAGCTTAGTGTACACTGACTGTGTGGTACTTTCACAGGCATGCTCTAACTTGGTAGGACAGTGTTACATTTATCCCGCCAAAGAGGAGCTGATGAAGTATAACATCATGGTCACCACTTTGTTAACCGCTGGAAGGTAGTGATTGGTTCTCTCAGTTTGCTCACCTGCATGATACTTAAAAAAAGTTGCATTTTATTGTTGCATGCTACATACTCACATCTTGTTTATATTATCTGCCATCCAAAATACTACCAGTCAACCCTACTGATGTACTTCTGTGGGAGTAAGTAAACTAACATATATGTACTCTGTACTCTCTGTAGACTGGTCACAGGAGACATCCCTGAAGATCATTTCACTCACGTGTTTGTGGACGAGGCGGGACATGCCGTGGAGACTGAATGTTTAGTCCCATTGGCAGGTAAAGAAAAGTTAAAAGTCCGGTGTGTAACATTTAGGAGGATCCATTTTTTTATCTACTTCTCAAACACTGGCTCTAGATGAGGCATTTTTTTGCATCCACCATAGTTTCTCCTACATGCTTGGAATGGGAGGTTGAGGCGAGGGGGTTGTAATTTGTGACTACACTCCTAGATGCCACTAAATCCTACACGCTGGTCTTTTAAACAGTTTTTCACAAATAGTTTTTGTAGTTTAGTATATTTACCTATAATAACCTTGGTTGATTTTTGTTATCTCTGGATCAAAGGGCTGCTCAAGGCAGAATCCGGTCAGGTTGTTCTGGCTGGAGACCCCAAGCAGCTTGGACCAATTCTCAGATCCCCTTTTGCGCTAAAATATGGAATGGGTAAGTACACACACAGTCACATATACTGTAAATTGTCCTTTTTATAACACTGTAGTTTGGCTAAATGAAGATGCAGTTCAGTTTTTGTTAGTTAACGCTCAGATTTTAACTTAAAACATAGTCTTGCTCTACTTGTGTGTGTGTATTTCTGGAGTGTCTGGAGTTAAAAGGCTCTGCTATCTGCAGGAGTGTCCCTCTTAGAGCGCATGATGAATGATTTCCCTATCTACCTGAAGAACGAGGGCGTGTTCAACAATCGCTTTGTCACCAAACTGCTGCACAACTACAGGTGTGTTAGTAGAGATGGTTATAGTCTGTCACTCCTGACAGAAATGTCAGATTTTCCACATCTATTTTCATTTATGTTTGTCCTTTTCAGGTCCCACCCTGCCATTCTGAAGATTCCCAACGAGCTCTTCTATGACGGAGAGCTGCAGGTTAGCGCGAATGAAATGTTACGCAACTCCTACTGCAGATGGGAATACCTCCCAAAGAAGGTAATGATTCTTCAGATTCTACAGTGCTTGTGCAAACTGGTCACTAAAAAATCAAAGCATGAAAAATACCTCAAGACTTAGTTACGTCTTTACTATTCAATATATAATAAATATAACAAACATTTGCTGTTTTTTGGTGGATTTTTTTATGTTATGATTTTTACGTCATTGTAAATTGACTAATCAATAATGAACATAATTGTTCTATTACTAATACTAATACTCACTTTCAGGGGCAGTGTTCTCCTATTAGAGCATCTTCATTGAAAGAGAATACATCTTCATTACTTTTAATGATTTTTACTTTCTGATTATAAAGTACTGTATTCATTGTGAAGACACAGAATAGACAGATCGATTTCCATTTCAACATTGACTGGCATGTGCTTCAACTTCACATTATTAACAAAAAAACAACCCTATAACACACTTTTGCAGCACTTTTTACTCTGTTTAACAGTTGTGAACTGTGGTAAATGTTTATTCCACCTCACAGGAGCACAGACTTCAAAAGAAGTTTTGTAAAAGAATATATAAAAACCTTCTTTAATAATGTTTATATTGTGAAATGTAAAATATATCTCACGTACCTCTCAGGACTTCCCGGTGATCTTCCATGGCGTGACTGGTATTGATGAGCGTGAGGCCAGCAGTCCTTCATTCTTTAACGTAGCAGAGGTGGAGGTGCTGATGGACTACGTGAAGAAACTGCTGGAGACACAAAGCAGGAAGGGCCTGGCTACCATTTCACCCAGAGACATAGGAATCATCGCCCCCTACAGGAAACAGGTTAGAATTTATTCAATTCAACACACACAGAATACCACAGTTTGTTGTTGTTTCAGAGTACAAAATAAGACAAATAACATAGTTAAAAAATGTTGCTGTTTTTTCTTTGTGTCACACAGGTGCAGAAAATCCGTAAGGCTCTGGAAAAAGTTGGGAAAGACCTTAAATTTAAGGACATGGAGAAGCTCAAGGTAATTAAATATTTCACACTTAACTTAGTAACTTAGAAACACGCAGCAGAAGCAGTGTCTTAAGTGTGTGTGTGTGTGTGTGTGTGTGTGTGTGTGTGTGTGTGTGTGTGTGTGTGTCAGGTTGGTTCGGTGGAGGAGTTCCAGGGTCAAGAGAGGAGAGTGATCATGGTGTCTACGGTTCGGAGCAGCCCCAATTACGTAGAGATAGACAAACAGTTCAACCTCGGCTTTGTCAAGAATGAGAAGGTACAGAACAGAAACACATGCAGGTACACTATATGTACACACAAAGCATTATTCTGATTTTTTTCCAGAGATTCAACGTGGCTGTGACTCGAGCTAAAGCCCTGCTGATTGTGGTGGGAAACCCCAGGGTGCTGAACACAGATACTACCTGGGCCCGGTACGTGTCACATGGCTACTTCTGGTCTCTGCTGTCAGCGTACGTACATGAACATTTACGTTAAAATTAAATTGTTTTTCTCTGCATCCCTGCTTGTCTGCAGCTTCATCCAGTACTGTCAAGATGAAGGAGGCTACACCGGCTTTACTCCAGCAGAGGAAGAGGAGGACATTGTGGAGAGACTGTCTGTTCTCTACCTCAGCATTGAGGCTACAGGTAACCAACATATATTGTTATTTTCATTCGTATCCCCCCTCAAATTAACATTTCAAATTGATGCTTAAATTGTCCACCTTGCTTGTTTTCTGTGACTCATTTCAGTGGAGACCGCCGAGAGTGTTGTTCAGCAGCATCTGGACCCCGAGTGGAGGAACGACCTGTGAGGGAAAGGAAATTTCCATCCCTTGAAGGGATTCATTTTGCTTTCAGACTGGAATATTTCTTCACCAGATGCTTCAAAACGAAATATTCATAACAATTTTTTACATTTGTACTTTATGGCTGCCATTTACAAGACAAGAATAACATCGACAATATCTCTTTAATGTCAGCTATATGAACTTTACCAAAGACCACGAAGGACAGGGAGCTGATTCATGTTTAGAGCAGTTTGTCTTCGCTCCCTCAGTGGATAGCATCAAAACCTCTTTTAAATATTCCTTTTACACAGTTAAAACCACAGCCAATCATCAGACCTAAATCTTCAATTTTAAGTTAATTTATATTGTTATTTAAAATTAATTTTACCAACCAAAACTGTCAGTCTCAGGTTTGTTATTTAATTGACAGTTTTACTTTCAACCGACTGTACGGCAGGGTCCATACATGTATGAAATGTCCAATCTATTTTTAAGTCACTGTGATTGAATACAGATATATTTTTATTGATATTAACCTAATAAAAAAATGTCTATGGTCTATTTTGAACTATTTGCTATTTTAAAATATAAAGTAAATGTTAAAACTACAAATTTCATCCAAACTAGAGCTAGAAATTGTTTGTATCATTTGGGATTTTTATTTTTTTTGAAATGGCAATTTGTAGTTTAAAAGTTTGTTTTTCATGCCATATTGAAATCAATGTAATCTAACTGCAGCCTGAAACACTGGGGAAAGTACAAATCCAAGACACAATGGTAATTGTACAGTAGGAAATGACAGTAATTACATGTGATTTGTATAAATTAATTTAATATTGGTCCTTTTGCTAATGGAGATGTTACTGCATGTCAGAATTTGAATGTAAATGCATTTCTAAAGAAAAATACAAGCATTCACAAGACTTTTTCACTTTTTCAAAAAAAAAAGCACGAACAAAATCAAACCAATTAAGATTACATAGTATTTCAAAAATACTTTATTAACGTGTTTGTCTCATCCAGACAGTCAACACATCCCACTCCTGTTTGTAAAGCGTTATCACAATCAACATTTTCTCTTGAACTACGGTGTTTTGACATTACAGACATAGAGGCACTGTTCAAGAGTTAGCCCGAGCCCGATTCTGATCTCTGGATCTGAATGTACTGAATGACGGAAAGATCACCACAGTTGTAGCTTATAATGGTGGTAGGATCAATGTGGGGGCCATTAAATACACTGATGGTGTGTTCAGGGCTCTTTCATGACAGGACCTGTTAATGTAATCTGCATATCTTTACTCCAGTCATGAAACAAAAGCGCACGCTGACTGTGTCAGAGGGCTGCCTGTAAGACGATGAGGTGGTTTGATGAGAATACACGTCTGGAAAAAAGTTTAAATTGTGGTTGCAAAGTTGGCTTTCCATTCCAATTTTGTTGCAGATTTTTTATTAACTTCCTGAGAACAGCACCTTTATGAGGCATGAATGTAAAGACATTTTTTTTTACCGTTACCCAAACACACCGTTATTCCCAGGCATACACACCCTCTGTTAATCAGTTGGCCCCATTTCAACGACCTTTAAGGGCTACTAAAGAGAAAACTTTTGATCATTTTTCCAATCACATTTCAAGGAATATTTTGAGTGTAGTGTCAAATAAAGTCCTGGTAGACACAAACAAAACCCCGATTTAAAAATAGTCAAGAGAGCTACTGATCTGGTGAGCCAAACTGAGGAGATGGCACATTGATAATGTCTGATCTGTCAGTCAAGTTGTCAGTTGAAGATTTTATTACGTTTATAAACAGAATGGGCCTATAGTCTGTCTGAATATCAATATATATATTATCCAACCTGTAGATTACAGTGTGCACTTTTCCTCAGAATATCCAGTACACAGTGATGCGTAATAACTATATACTGGATCTGAATCAACAGTACGGAGTTCAGACAGGAGGCTTGTTTGGGGGAAGGCATCGGTGACGTCTTGGTAGAGGCAAGTTTGTCAGCGCCAGTGTGAGCATGACTGAGTGTATTGTGTCCGTTACAATAGACCACTGTCTCCAGTGCCAGTTCAAGCTATCGCTGTGGAAGAGAGACAGAAAAGGTGCAGTCCAAAACCTCTCCACACAAATAACCACTGCTGCTTCAGTTTATGTAGGTTTCAGTGTATTAATGCAGTGTGACCACACTCTAAATTTAGTCCTTTATGTCAGAAGAGAAAGATGGGGGGGGGGGGACAGAGCTCTGCTGACTCAGCACTCGGTGAAACAGGACTTTAAGGGTGTAAAATGAATAGTGGTGTGACAAATAGATTGTGACTGAAGGAGACGGGGGTTCAAGAGAAGCAGGGGTTCCATACTAATTAAAAAAAAAAATCTCAGACCGTCGCAGCAAGACAGTCAGTGGGCATGTGAGCTACAAGACACTTCTCTGTAAACAATCATAACATAGAGGCAGACGCATGATATATTTGTAAAGTATATGCACATATAAATACAAACATACATTCATAGAGGAAGATAGGGCAGGTCCTTCACACAAACAGGCTGGTGGAGGAAAACAAAACAGCAAACAAACAAACAGGAACAAAGCTGACAGTGTGCGAGTAGCAGAGGGTTTTTTTTTTTGTTTGTTTTTTTAAAAATGGATTTGTTTTGCTTTTAAACAGGTGTGTCAGTCTTTCATATTCTCCTGTGGCAAATCTGCATCTGTGAAGTAAGTATAGTCCACGGAAGCCATTGATTTAAGGTTTCTCTAAGTTTGCTCTGTGTGTAAAGGGGGGAGTCCTCCTTCAGCTGCTGATTGGCCAACAAACGCCGTCCCTTCACAGTAGCTGGCAGCCGCCCCTCTTCTTGCGCTTGCGGACCTGCAGCGCTGCTCTGGTTGCCATCTCAAACACCTCCCGCACGCCGTCCTTGGTCTTGGCAGAGCACTCCAGGTAGCCAAAGGCACTGATGCGGTTGGCCATGTCTCTGCCCTCCTCAGACTTAACCGGCTCCTGGAGGTTTAATGTACAGACAGTGGGTTAAAATGAGGGGTGGGTATATACATTCAACAGTGAGGTTGATTCATTTTGAGATCATTTGTTGCCGGTAACACAATCAGAAACACACACACACACCTGTTTCATCTTGGCCAGCTCCCTGCGAGTGTGTTCATCGTTCCTGAGGTCCTTCTTGTTACCCACGAGAATGATCGGGACGTTGGGACAAAAGTGTTTCACTTCAGGCGTCCATTTCTCGGGAATGTTCTCTACAAGGGGGAAAAAAATGAATTACAAAAACAACTCAAGTCACTGCACATTAAATTCCAGAATTTTCTCCCTACAAGGACAGTTGGGAGAGGCCTTGTCATTTCCCTTGTGACTCTACAGACATAAACATCAAGAGGTTACTGACCCCTCCCTAATGGCTGAGTCTGCTAGCCAAAATCTGTGCTGTCTAGAGGGAGATGCCATGCTGCGATAAGAGTGGGCATACCATCTGTGGCAGTGCCCATTTCAAAACACCGTGGGAGAAAACCCCAGGGCTGAAGTCTGAGTAAGCAAGACATTTTCATGTTTGATTTGGTTTTTGAAGGTCAAGAACACTCTGATCCAAACCTGAAAGTGTGTGCGCTTCCAGGAAATGCTTTCATAACGTTTGAGCCCCGCTCAACAGCAGCAGCTAGGTCATAGTCTAAATTAAAACCCATAAGAGTCTCTATGAAGGATGCATTGATTAGAGTAAATCTACAGTATGTCAGTCTTTGATACTCTGACTTTAGGTTCTTCAACTTCTTATTTATTTAAAAAAATATATAGTTTCCCAATTTATTCAAATTGCTGTAGCTGCAAAACAGTCATGTGTGGAAGTGAGTTAATAAACCAGAACAGGACAGCAGACTAACAGCTAACTGCAATAATTTAATCACACTCATGAAGAAACACCATCTGAATAAGCATTATGTTTTCATAAAGAGGATCATTAATTGCATGAAGGCTGCATACGAGCAGGAAACGGGGAATTGTAATGAAAAACACAGAAATTACCAGAAGGGAAAAACCAAGAGGATCAGTTCTGATTTGACTGCACTGACAGATGAGCCCTCCTTTACACAGTCAGAGGGAACTTCCTATCAGGTGTTATTCGACTATATTCACTATCTGTGCATGTGGCACTGATACTGAATATCTGAGTCATTGTACACAGAGCAATGCAGGAGCAATAGCATGGCAGGCTGTCGACTCTACAAACTGCATCTCAAAATGACCACAAACCACAAAGCTGTGGAAGGAAGCGGAGGAAGGTGATAGAAAGAGTAAGCAGTGTGACAGCGGACAGGCAGGACAGCGACTGGTGCAAACTGTCAAGGAAGTCGGTCAAACCACCACGCTGGTACAACCACCTCCCTACTGCCATTTTATAACTGAACTATGCGCAGGATGCATAGTTTTACTTTCTCTAACTGTGTGGAAATCTGATGTTTTTGCAACCCAGATGACAGAGAAAGACAATGTGATTTAGGCCATAGCATGAGACTCATGTGGGCTGATTTAGGAGTTTGGTGTGGTGCTGAACTGTGTTGCTAAGTGTTGCTAAGCAATATGTATCCAGCCTTACCTAAACTGTCAGGGCTATCTATGGAGAAGCACATGAGGATGACGTCTGTGTCGGGGTAGGAGAGAGGCCTCAGTCTGTCATAGTCCTCCTGACCTGCTGTATCCCACAACGCTAACTCCACCTGAAAAAGACGAAGAACAAAAACATGTGACACATTATTAAAATAAGGTAGGATATTCCCACTACTCCGACAGCAGTATGAAGAGGGGGGACGTGACAAAAAGAATATGGGCGTCAAGAACAGAGGCAGAACAAGTTGAGAGAGAGAATATTTTAAACAATTCATTCCACTGCCTAAAAAGCAACTCCTCAGAGATAAAGATGGCTCCCGTAGGCTTTTCTTAGGCTGTTAATCAAACTGTTGACAATCCCAGAGTGCCTGACCTGATCTAGATAAAACAAAAACACCCAGCAAATAATCATCTGCTTCAGCTGCAGCCCCAAAGAACCATACAGGAATGTCTTATACACAGTGGCCTAGAAGCGTGATTGCTGTGGTCTCTTGGATTTTACTGTAATATTGACCCATCTTCTCCTGCATCCTGCTGATTTAATACAACAGTAACATCACCCACATTACAGTCATAGCTGAAAAACTGTGCCTGATGCAGCTGGGAATTGGGTAAAAAAACAGTCCTAATTGTCCCCCAGAGAGCAACTACACAATATGTTAGCAGTTAATCTGGACTTTTCTGACATCTCCCCACACTCGTGTCTTGCCAAGTCTTGCTTGTTGGCTGACAATTGACTTACCTTGGCAAAGCTGGCTGGCCACACTGCCTTCTGACTTATAGTCTAACGTAGACGGGGCATTTTCCATAGTATATGAGACAGGGGGGGCAGAGCTGCACCACATCTTCTGTCCGGGAAAGTCAGCAACACCACACTATGACAAACCTGTGTCCATTTCTGCTGCTTTTGGAGTATTTTACCACTAGGTGTCTCTTTTACTACATGCTGCCATTTACAGCTTTCCTTTCATAGTTTGTGTAACCGCAACTAAACATAATAAAAGAATGATAAGTTTGGGTTAGCTGTAAGTTCAACAGTGACCCTGACTTGTTTAGTAATATTTCACTACAAAAAAATTGTAAGAAAAAAAGAAAATGAAATCATTTTAGAGTACAGTCAACTTTGTATTATATAGCACAGGAAACAGGAACAGGAAATGGGACATTAGTCATGATGTATGAGGGATGGGGGTTCCCAACACTGAGCAGGAAAGTGGCACT